CCGTTTAAGTTTGAAAGTTGAAAAGTTTGTGTGTCTGAAACGCTATGTGATACAGTACAGTTTACACAGCACAGTACATGTTCTGTAGCTACTATTGCACTAAATGGTAACACTTGAATACGTTATGCAAATATGCAACTTGTTTGTTGAAATGTTAATAAATGGGAGCTTCCTCAAACAGCCATCTCTTTCCCCGACAATCCCCTCTGTGCACGAACCCTTACATATGGTAATTAAACATTAAAACACCTGCGGCTTATAGTCCAGTGCGGCGTATATATGTACACATCATTCAATTTAGCTGCTGCGGCTTATATTCAGGTGCGCCTTATAGTGCGAAAATTACGGTACATCTATTCTCTCTCATTTTTATTCCTATGCTCCACACAAATATATATTCTTACTCCACTTTGAAGGATCGGCCTTCTCAGCCAATATAGGCTACCAAACACCTGACAACATACACTGAGCAGAACATTTATCACAACACAAGCACATAGACCAGGACCGTCAATTCATTTCATCTCAGGGGCACATACAGCCAAATCTGAAAAAGAAGGCTGGACCAGTAAAGTCATAGCATAATAACCACAACTCCAAACTGATTCCTTTGTTTTGCTGCACAAACTGACATTTCTTAAGAAAAACAAGTGTAATTTCAACTTTATTATGCCTCAATTTATCATTTACATGTGCATTACATCTAACAAATCACTGTATCTACAAAAACATTTAGTCTCCTCTATCTGGAACTGTAAAATATAGTGTTTTGATCTAAACAACGTGTCAAGATCCAGAAATAATTTTACATTCATTTCCACATCTGTGTAGTAATCCTAAAACACCACCATACAAACTAGAGTGGGAACTATTAAGGAAGAAGTAATCCCCCTGCCTTGTAAATGTATAAATACAAAATACAGTATAAATTGAAAATTGCAGTTAATGCCTTCTGTTATTTTGACACTTGTGAAAAGTAAGGCTGCACAACACAAGATGAAATGTCTGCATAGGGAGGAAGGTTTCAATAATTGGCATCATGTTTTGTGATGCAAATTGAGCAGTGAAATGTTAACTGTGAACAAACAGTTTGAACACACACCATCGTCCTCTCACACACACCTGTCTCTGTGGCAGCTCAGCTGAATCCTGCAGGCTCCATATTCAGCTTTGGAATTTCATTTGTCCTCGCTATAGTGTTGTGCTTTGGTTTAGCATTAGATCCATTCATCTACATACCTTATAATGTGCGTGCAGCAAAGCCTGACAGAAGGCATGAGTGAAATGATTGAATGGGTCAAACAGCAGATCTACCTCGAGGGGCAGGAGAGGGACATTGGCATTCCAATTAGACTGCAGATGGAACTTCCCCATATTTAGGTTGATCTAGGATTTTTTTCCTTTGCAGACTATTTACATGCACACAAACCCATATAACACACTACAGGAAATGCCCCCCCCCAAACAAATAATAGGGCTTCTTTAACATCTTGTGCATTTGTGTATGTGTGTTTAGGAGGACAAGAGTATACGTTGGGCGTCTAGATGGGACTACATTCTGGAGTCGATGCCTCACACCAACATCCAGTGGTTCAGGTAAGACTGACACACACTGACCCTCATTTTGTGGCTCATATATGATGTTTTCACAATAGTTAGTTGTTGTTTTGAGCCCTTGTTGTATTTCTTCTGCCAGTATCGTTTGGAAGTTCATTAACAACGAAAGTGGTTGACCCAAAATGAATCTGTAATATGTTTTGAGAGCCTGCAGGGACAGGTGTGGAACGGCTGACCCACGTTTTGTGAGAAAGCTAGATTTAAGATGATCTTCAGTTCGAGACGTTTATTTATCTTGTATTCACCCTTTAAATCACGGCAAAGCAGATCCTGAAACTGTATTTCAACAACAGCAGTGTCTCTTTCTAATCCATAGACACAACAGTCCCACTGCTTTCAGTGAAAGTAGGTTTACAGCAATGGGAAGAATGAACTCAGCCATAATTATTTAGTTTTAAAACACCTCACCATCATGTGAAAAACATGATAGAGTCTGTCCCTCCCTTTTATAATGATTCAGTCAAACCATTGCTCCACCCTGGAGTAGAGTGGTGCAGGAATGAGTCCTAAAACCTGGAAATGAGTCAGCCATTATCATTTCTGATTCCCTGTTCTCGAAATGAACGTGTTTTTGGTTAAATGCCTTAAAGAAGCGTGCAAAGGTCCATTTACGCAGATTGTTAAACAACATCGTAATGGGGAAATGCAAGTTTGCGTCCAAATGGTTGGAAGATAACGAGGAAGGACAATCACTGTATATAGTAAATGTAAGGTAAAGTGTGTCGTCAAGGTAACCGGTTAAAACTCCAAGTGGCGATGAGGTCTTAAAATGTATGGAAAGGGTCTTACAAAAGGTCTTGCATTTGACTTCAGGATTCCTGCATATACCCTGCAACAGCAACAACTCATTTGGCTTTGCTATGTTTCTGTCCCCAGCATCATGAACTCGTTGGTGATCGTGTTGTTCCTGTCTGGGATGGTAGCCATGATCATGCTGAGGACTCTGCATAAAGATATTGCCAGATACAATCAGATGGACTCTGTGGTGAGTAGTACCTGTGGGGGTGTGGTAGCCATTCATAGTCACCACTGCAACACAGCACAATGCTCGTGTACCTGCACTATTACCTGCACATGTAACCCTGCTCATATGTACATTCACAGTCAGAGTTTAACTCATGTATTTTTTGTTATTTCTATTCATACTGTTAAAACATGTTTTTTATGTTATTCTTTTTATCCCTGTGTATATTATTCTGTTGCTGCTATAACACCTACGGGGGGATCAATGAAAGTCAATCTTAACTCTCTTCTCTTGTGTTGTTCTGCAGGAGGATGCTCAGGAGGAGTTTGGATGGAAGTTGGTCCATGGAGATGTTTTCCGACCTCCAAGGAAGGGAATGCTGCTGTCGGTTTTTCTCGGCTCTGGAACCCAGATCTTCATCATGACCTTCATAACCTTGTGTATGTCTTTTTATGTATATTACCTTACCGATTGTTTAGTAGAATTTAAAAAAAATCATATTAATCGCAGTACAGTGGTAAACGGTTATAAAGAAATCCCCACTTTGCACATAAATGCTTTTTCTCTTTCCTGTAGTGTTCTATAGGTTTTAGTGCATGTAAATGGTCTGCAGAGGCAAAAATCCCTGTTACCTCCAGAACACCCCCCCCCCGACCCCTAATATGAACCTGAAAAGGGGGATAATAGGGCCCCATTAAATAAAAAATACAGCAACTATTATTAGCTTACCCCAGATATCTCAGTATTACTTTTTATCTTTGATAGGTTGACAATAAATGTCAGTAAAAGGAAGGTCGCAGATATGTTTCAAATGAGCAAGTTTAAGTTTATTTCTAGACTGAAAAATGTCCCACTGAGTACATGTCTTGGTCCCAATTGTTTTATTGACTTGATTGAGTGTTCAGCTGAAATATGAACGGATGCCCTGACCTCTACTGTATAACTGACTCACTTCCTGTATCGTGTAATAATGCTCTCTGTCCCCTCTGCAGTCTTCGCCTGTCTGGGGTTCCTCTCTCCAGCAAACCGAGGCGCTCTGATGACCTGTGCTGTGGTTCTCTGGGTTCTCCTGGGAACTCCTGCTGGATATGTGGCTGCTCGCCTCTACAAATGTAAGTGAGAGAGGAACAGGGTTCCCGCGGGGTCTTAAAAAGTCTTACATTTGACCAAAAAAATAAGAAAGATCTTAAATATGATTTAGAAGGTCTTAAAAATGATCGGATTTGAAAGGTACTTCTGTGTTGCGATAGCGTCTAAATGTGTTTTGGGGGAAATGTCCGGGCTGCAAAGTAACCAGTACGGTAATAGCCTTTCAGTTCCCCCAACAATCTGTATTGAATTAAATCAACATGGAACCAGTAATCACTAACTTTGTTTCCCCCGGCCCCTTATTGGAGAACACCCAGCTAATAACCTAGCAACCAAGCTTCAGCTTGCGGCAGTCAGAAACTCATGTATCTTCGAATCTACTTACAAATTAATATGGGGAAGTGTCAGTTCAACCGTATTTGGTTGGAAAACATCTAATTTAGTGCTTGGTTGAAACCAGTGGAGGGGAACGTGTTTGAAGCCCGCCGCACCTTTTGCAAATAAAATGTGCGTTTGTTTTGCTAATGTAGCGTTAGCTAGTGGAGCGTTAGCTAGTGCAGCAGCTCCCGCAACAACACCGGGGGACCTCCGGGCGACGTTTGGGTCTACGTCAACCCTAAAAGCGGAGGTGCTGTAGACGCTAAATACCGTAGCTAAACACCAATCATACAACAGCAACGATGAAATAGTGTAACCAATTTAATTTAAGGGGTAATTTCTCAAAATGTTCCCCGTGTGGTTTATTCACCATTACAATAGCCCCACCTAAAATAATTTCCACCAGCCGCCACTAGCTTTAAAGCTAATACAACAGCACAGATTGTTCAGAATATTCAGTATGAGAAAAAACGACACCCTCTATCGTACAAGGAAAACCTCCGGAGAAACACACAGTTTAAAGGGAAAAATGGGAGAAAACCTCAGGGAGAGCAACAGAGGAGGGA